GTGTGTGTGTGTGTGTGTGTGTGTGTGTGTGAAAGTCTCACGTGCTTATACAGGTTTCCCCCAAACACCTGCAGAGAAATGAGAACAAGTCTGGATTCTGACCCTGGACCAGGTCTGGACCAGGACCTAGCGTGGACCAGGATCAAGACCAGGACCAGAACCCCTGATCAGGACCAGGACCAGGACCTAGTCCAGACCCGGACTGGGTCTAGACCAGGCCAGAACATGGACCTGGACCAGGACCAGACCCCGGATCATGACCAGGCCTGTACCTGGACCAGGACCAGATCAGGACCAGGACCAGGTCTAGACCAGGCCAGGACCAGGTCTAGACCAGGACCTAGACCAGGACCAGGACCAGGTCTAGACCATGCCAGGACCTAGACCAGGACCAGGCCCAGACCCCGGACCGGGTCCTGTCACCGGTTCGGTTGTGTCTGCGCAGCCTTGTGCGCATGCGCGTTGCGTCCCCGGCCGTCCGCGGGCCTCATTAGCACGCGCCGTGTCTCTTAGGGACTAAAGGACGCAACTGGCCTTCTTCCCACGACCGGGTCCGCGTAGCAGCCTCCCGGCCCCGCGCACGCGCCGTGCGCGCGCACGCGCCCCCCCCCAGAACAAAGTGTCTGCTCCCTGAAAGGCTGAATGGATGTTTACAGACCTTTTCTGTCCTGGTACCGGCCCTTCATGTGGCGCGTGAGGAGTCGGCGGGGCGCGCGCCCCACGGAGCCGTTTTGGCACAAGTGGCGCGCGAGGCTCTCCGCTGGTGCGCGTGTTCATGGTGCCCACTTACCGCGGGATGGATGGGCCCGGAACACCTGCCTAGAACCCGGAAACCACCCGTTAGATCCCGTTAGATCCCGTTAGATCCCGTTAGATCCCGTTAGATCCCGTTAGATCCCGTTAGTTTTTATGCGTAAAACACCAATCAGTGAACAGAGGAGAGGCCTTCCCATTGTTGTTGTTTTGGTTGTTTTTGTTGTTGTTTTAGTTGTTTTCTTTGTTGTTTTGGTTATCGTTTCTGTTTTTCTTATTTGTTTTTGTATTTTTGTTGTTATTTTTGTTGTTTTAGTTGTTGTTTCTGTTGTTTTTGTTATTGTTTTTTTAGTAGATGTTTTTTGTTGTTTTTTTTTTGTTCTTTTGGTTGTTTTAGTTGTTTAAGTTGTTATTTTTGTTAGATTTAGTTAGAGTCAGTTTAGTTAGTTAGAGTTACAGTTAGTCTAGATTAGATGAGTTTAGATCCCGTTACGGGGAGCGGGAATAGTTTAGAGTTTTTGTTAGTTTTGGGTTAAAGGGAGTGAGTGAATCTGAGTCTGGAGCAGATTTTTTACGCGTAAAACACCAATCAGAGTCCAGTCAACAGAGGAGAGGCCTCCCCATAGTTGTTGTTGTTTATGTTGTAGTTTTTTTTTTGTAGTTGTTATTGTTATTTTAGTTGTTGTTTTTTGTTGTAGTTTTTGTTGTTGTTATTGTTGTTTTGTATGTTTTAGTTATTGTTTTGGTTGTTGTTTTAGTTGTTTTTTTGTGGTTTTAGTTTTTTTGTTCTTTTAGTTGTTTTAATTGTTGTTTTGGTTGTATTGGTTGTTTTAGTTGTTTTACTTGTTATTTTTGGTGTTGTTTTTGTTGATTTGGATGTTTTAATTGTGGTTTTGGTTGTTGTTTCTGTTGTTTTTGTTATTTGGTTGTTTTAGTTGCTGTTTTAGTTGTTTTTGTTATTGTTTTAGTTGTTATTTTTGTTGTTTTGGTTGTTATCGTATTTGTTTTTGTTGGTGTTTTAGTTGTTGTTTCAGTTGTTGTTTTTGTTGTTTTTTGTGTTGTTTCTGTGTTTTTTGTTGTTGTTTTAGTTGTTTTAGTTGTTGTTGTTGTATTGGTGTTTTGGTTGTTTCTGTTGTTTTTGTTATTTAGTTATTTGACTTGTTGTTTTGTTGTTGTTCTGGTTGTTGTTATTGTTGCTTTTGTGTGTCTGTGGTGGTATTCTTGTGTTAGTTGTCCTCTTTCCGTTTCTTGTAGTTAAAGTCACTCTAAAGGAAAAACCACCAAACCCCGGACAGGTGGTGGGGGGGGGGGGGGGGGCTGAGGGGGGGGGTCATGTCATCCTCCAGTTGAGACGTCTCTGGGCTAGTGGGCGTGGCTTAGGCGCGATTCTCTCGAGGTGCGCCTCGCGGACCGAGCCCTGATTGGCTGGCCCGCGTGGGCAGCGGCACGCGACTATGGATGTCGCTATAAACGACCCTCGCGTGCGCGGTGCTCCACCAAAAGCTCCGCAGAGACCTGTGGACGCACGAGACCCGGACCCCCCGTGCACGCGCGTTCTGGACTCTTTCCCGGACCCCCCGTGCACGCGCGTTTTAGACTCTTTCCCGGACCCCGTTCCGGACCACCTGTGCACGCGCGTTCTGGACTCTGTCCCGGACTCTGAGCCGGACCCCCCTCCCCTGCACACGCGCACCATGGACTCGGTGCTGGACCCTCTGTCCTCTCCTCCGTATTTCGACGACGACGACTTCTTCACGGACCAGTCCTCGCGGGACCTGGACCCGGAGGACTTCCTGGACCCGGATGTGGACTTCCTGGCCTCCCAGCTGCAGGACTACTACGGCCGGGGCTCGTGCGCGGGCTCGTGCGCGGCCCCGGACGGGGACTACGACCTGTCCTTCTCCTCGTGCTCGTCCAGCCTCTCGTGCGCGGACAGCGGCCCGGAGCTGTCCCCGCGCGCGCGCTCCCGCGGCGCGCCGCTGCTCCGGCGCCGGCGGCGCATGCGCTCTGAGTCGGAGATGCAGCAGCTGAGGCAGGCGGCCAACGTGCGCGAGCGCAGGCGCATGCAGTCCATCAACGACGCCTTCGAGGGGCTGCGCGCGCACATCCCCACGCTGCCCTACGAGAAGCGGCTGTCCAAGGTGGACACGCTGCGATTGGCCATTGGCTACATCAACTTCCTGGCCGAGCTCGTGCAGTCCGACCTGCCAATCAAGAGCCCGCACAGCGAGACGCACGCGCAGCCCCGCAAGATCATCATCTGCCACCGGGGAACCCGTAAGTAGGCCTCCGTCCGGTGTCTGTAGAGCGGGCTAGAGCGGGCTAGAGCGGTCTTAGAGCGGCCCTAGAGCCGCCCCCTCTAAATGGCCTTAGAGCGGCCTTAGACCAGAGTTAGAGCAGCCCTAGAGCAGAGTTAGAGC